GGGGGGGTAGTTTACCAACTAGAAAATACATGCATGCAGAAACCCTCGCCTTACCGATAAAACCAGTATGTTTTCTGAACATAAAGTATTGAAAGTATAGTTGTCATGGTATCACGATAATTTTAAGAATAGTTTTAAAGTTGAAAATGCCCCCAAAATATCACTTTTAATTACAAAATGATCAATTTCCCAAACATATATATGCTAAGTATGTTATTATACGTAATACAAGCTTCAATTTAATGTAAAATTAAACCACAAACGCTTCGCAAAACGTTTTAAAATGTTCTTAAAACTATTAAAACTGCCTTTTATCGAATTTACTAGGCAGGTTCGGAAAATGCGGGTTACCTTTGTCTTTCGCTTTACGTTTCTAAATATGGCCCGCAAATTTGCACCGCCCGCAAATTTGCCCGAAAAAGGGCCTGTGGAGGAGGTAGTCGAATTTACATTGAGTTTGAAATAAACTGCTATAAAACCAACAATACATCAATATTCAAAACAAACTTACCTTCATTAACGTCGGCGACTTTGCTCCATTCTTTTAGACGTTTTTAGGCTCTCAGAAAGGTTTTGAAATTGACAAAATCTTGCAAAAATACAACTTGCAAGAAATGTTTGTTATTTCGCTGTCGTCATGCAGTCGTTATAATGCAAATTTCAAATTTGACCAAACAGTGTTCATTATTCACGACAGTCCGCTACATATTTTGAGATCAGTGAGGATGACCACCCACTCAACACCGTTGGTGAGCCACGCCCGCGATCATTGATGAACTTTAGAGTTGGTTAATGCTTTCGTTTCCCCGGGTGTAAATAGCCGGGGGGAATTAGTACCCTCGCCCCGGGCTTACGCCCGGAACGGCGCTCCGCGCCGTTGGCCCGGGGGTTACACTGCAACATTTCATTCAGACATAAGTTACACGATGTCCTTCACACGATGGACTGGAAACTAAATGACACGCGTAAGAGCTCCTTAAAAATGCTGACGTGGTGTACTATACATAGCTGCCGCAAACCTATATTTATATAATTGTCAATAAGAAAAAACAGAGCTTAGCCTGAGGATCAAGCCCTATTTTCCCTTCCTTGCATGCTGGTGGATGGAAGTTAAAAGAGGGTCTCACATAGATCCCTGTCTGGCTGCATGTAAAAAATGCCAAAATCCGGCTTTTCACCTGATTGGTCTTACTGTCAGACTAAAAAAATTAGTCTGTCTTATGATTGGTCAGTGCTAATTATATTATACTATACAGCTTTCAATATGTTTTCTCAATTTTAAGGATCTCTGGCTTTACTTCGCCAACCGGAAAAACTTGAAAAAGTGGACAAAATGGCCGAAGTTGTTACGGGATCCGACGATGAATCTTCGTGGTATGATCGGTCTGACATCGGCGAACCTGACGACGAAAGCAGTGAATGTGAAGAAAATGACGGAGACATCACGTCACTAAAAACAGACATTGTTTTGAGTAATACTGAAAAGCTTCAAAACACATCACTTGTATGTGAGGTTCAGCCTGGGAATTGTTACCCGTTGGATTTATGGTGTATTTTGGCCAACTATATTAAACCAGAACAAATACAAACTTTCACATGCATCTGTCGTGGATCTTACGTCGCTGTAAGTTCCGTGAGTTTCTGGGCTCGCCTTTATCAACGTTTTATCTCAGATAGCGTCAACTTACCTGCTCGACTGAAATCAGACTGGATTGAAAGTAGAGATGGTTTCAAATGCCGTGTTGTCCGAGCCTTGTTTATCGCGTACAAGAATCTTCATAATCGTCTAGCGCAGCACACCGTGGAAACAACACGTGATACTCACGTGACATCACAACTTGTCGGGCTACGTTGTTGTAATGCGTGGTATGAGCTAAAAACATCATCCAAACCCGATGGGAAGATGTTCGTGTTTTATTTTAAGTTCAAACGCAATGGTACTTGTGATAAAGCATGTTTATATGAAGACGATGACAGATTTCATTACCTGAACGCTAATAGTGAACGTGATTTTATAGTCCTTCAAATAACTGTGTCAAACTTTATTCGTATGCAGTCTGTTTCTGGGGAGCGACTCACAGATATTTCAGTTAATTTAAGTCGTAACCTGAGGTTTCATTGTATAAAAATGACATTTCATGCTTTCCGTCATGATGGTAGATATAGAAAATGTGATGGAAAAGTTATTGTTGTTGATCCTGTTTCTGAATTCCGTCTGTTACGTTGGTGGTATCCACTGTATCCTCACTGTGACGAATGAATGAACAATATATTAAAAGTGGTTTAAACATGGGTTTTTTGTAGATGGAAGCAATATTTGCAGATGCCGTAAAAATTGAAGTTCAGAAACTAAAAGGGGAAAACCCCTCATTTTTTTCAAAGTATGTCGTCTATATTACTTGTAAATATCAATTATCAAAACAACCTTTTGTAATTTGGGAAGGGACGTAAAAAATGAACATCTATAGTTGACCTTCCATTATGTTTATCTATTATAAATATTACTACAGATTATTCCATATATGCATGTTTAAATATGTTGTAGAAACGTTTCTACGCTTTTGCCTTCTAACAACCACTGGAAATCTCGTAAGTTGCATGATTTTCATAATTATGCCGCTGTGTGATCGTGCTGAACAACCTCGCTCGTAGGATTGTCATCATTTCTCGTCTCTGGGTGTTGCAGTGTTCAGATAGAAGCTTGTGTTTTCTTGCTTGTGTCTCATGAGAGACTGGTAATGCGAAAGACCACGCCCTCTGGCTGGATTTTCTATACGAATTTCATAAACTTCTATAGGAATTTCATAAGCGCCATCATCGATCCATTCGTTGCCACAGGCAGATGGTTGAGTGGAATCTTTAAGATATAGGAAATGTATAATGAGTCTAGTACTAGACTAGAAAATACATGCATGTAGAAACCCTCGCCTTCTCACAAAACCATTGTATTTTCCGAACATGAAGTATTTAAAGAAGTTGTCATGGTAACACGATAATTTTTTAAGAATATTTTTACAAAAGAAAAATCCCCTAAAAAGATCACTTTAATTACAAAATTACCAATTTTCCAAACATATTTTTGTTAAGTATGTAATTATTATACGTAATATAAGCTTCAATTTAAGGTAAAATTCAACCACCAACGCTTCGCAAAACGTTTTAAAGTGTTCTTTATAAAACTAAACTGCCTTTTGGCTTTATCGATAAACATTGAGTTTCAAATAAAATGATTTCAAATTTTCGCATGCAAATAACTTTGCTTCCTTTTTTATTTAAAAAAAATTAATATAATAAAAAAGAGTAGTCAATAAAGTATACACTGAAATTATATGCTGTCTTGTTTCGTTTATACGCAACGTTTATACGATCGGCTTTTAAAGCAATTATAAAGCAAACAATACATTAATATTTAAAACAAACTTACCTTCGTTAACGTCGGCGCCTTTGCTCCCTTCTTTTAGCCGATTCTTTCGCCCTTTTTTCTTAAAAAGCTTTTGAAATTCACAAAATCTTGTAAAAATGAAATATATTTGCAAGAAATCATCAAATCAAGAAATGTTTGCTATTTCGCTGTCGTCATGCAGTCGTTATAATGCAAATTTTAAATTTGACCAATCAGTGTTCGCTATTCATGACAGTCCGCCATATTTTTGAGATCAGTGAGGATGACCACCTACCGTTGGTCACTCACGCCCGCGATCATTGATGAACTTTAGACTTCGCTAATGCTTTCGTTTCCCTGGGTGTAAATAGCCGGGGGGAATGAATACCCTCGCCCCGGGCTTACGCCTGGTCGGGGAAAATATACATGCATTTTTAAAACTTTAATTGCTTTCTTTTTTATTAAAAAAAATAGTATAATAAAAAAAGGTAATCAATAAAGATACACTGAAATTATATGCTGTCTTGTTTCATTATACGCAACGATCAGCTTTTAAAGCAAACAATCCTTCCTTCTGGGCGTGAATTCTGTTTAAATAAAGTCCATGGAAATTCCAATATTAACATGTCAACAATCGAAGCGTTGAAGAACTAGACTTGCAGGAACTAGATTTGTAAGCTATAACTATATAAAGGTAGAAACTATAAAATTGCACTGTTGTAATAAATATTTCAAACTTTACGGCTGTGAACTATTATTTACTTGGGCTTTTGTTTACAGTATACATTTAATAGAAAGTGCCATTGTGATCGACTGATCGATACTTCAGCTAAAGAAGTTATTAATACAAAAGCAATTATATGACTTTCTAATCATTTCTCTCTTACTGTTTTATACTAAGCAACTGACAGCATTCTATTATTCTCCATGTAATACCGAATGACATATTCGAAATATTCGCACGGTTAACTTGCCATGTAATTTACTCATAATTTTTCGCGCATTTTGTATGTCATCAAACATCTACAAATTTATTATTATTTGCCAGTGTCGTTCAATTCGACTCTTCGTCAGAATAAATTAAGGTTTTACACACAGTGTTTGTCCGCCATGACAGTATACAAGAACTGCCAGGCGCTCTCCAGCACGCACCCTTCCCAACAGCCCCTTCGCGCGTCGTCTGCCTACCTGAATACTTCATGTATTGTAATTATTTAAAGCCCCTGGGTACGAGGCAGGACTAGTAAAATGACGTTGTTTTGACTGTGTTTGATGTATAATTTTAATTGTAAATTCACAAATTTCCCTTTGTTTCACCCTTCAGTAAACCGCCATTTTGAAATTAGTATCATTACGTCATTTCATCTATACGCTGTCGCTGATTAATTGGCTATGAACACGCTTACAAACTCCCGGTACGCGCACGATAGCAATATATCTGCATTCGCAGATACAACAATCCCTTCACAGCTTCCCACATGGTTTCAAAATATTGGCTCATTTCTGAGGGGCCTGGGCCGGTTTTGCTGGATGGCGGGATGCCTCTAAAATTCAAGTGAGATTTGGGATTTTAAGAGAAATATTGGTCGGGAAGCGGGATTTTATTCCATCGCGGTAAGTGGGATTACTAAAAATACCATGGCGATATGCGGGGAAGTAATCCACGATTAGCGAGATAAATTAACAAAACTTGTAGCCGTAGGTTAGCTGATCTGTTGTCATTTGTTTGTGTGCTCGAAATTCTGGGATGATATCGAACATTTGTCCCCCATCAATCCCCCATTTACAAGTATGATTGCTGCTTTCATAAGAGCCGCGATTTAGATTATTTTAAACTTTGTTGTATTGAATGCTAGTGTATTCAAATTGTATCTGAATGTCATTACCATGTTCTTTAAATCATAATATGTTGAACAGTGTACTAAAAAGTCGGGAACGGGAAATTGGGATGAGGCATGGTGGGATAACGGGATTTGAAGTGAAAATCGGTCGGGATGACGGGATTTTAGAACCCGGTACAGGCTCCTCATTTCATTCCTGGCGGTCCGCCATATTTTTTTGAGATCAATGAGATGACCACCCAACCCCCGTACTTTTGAAACCGCTAGATGCTAGTAGCTTTCCTTTCCTGGGTGTGAATAGCCGTGCGGAATTACTTAGTACTAGGGTATAGCTCCAATACACAAAACAGGAGCTAAGCACGATATGGAAAATTACAGACCGATATCTGTTATTTCAATTATAGCGAAGATTATGGAGAAACTGATACATAATCAATTATATGACTATCTTATAGCTTCAAACCTACTAACAAATTCCCAACACGGCTTTAGACCATGTCATTCAACAACCACAGCTCTATTAGATATCACTAATAGATGGTACCAAAACATGGACGTAGGACAATTAAATGGAGTTGTATTTTTAGATTTAAAAAACGCCTTTGATGCCGTTGACCACGATATTCTTCTAAAAAAATTAAAAATTTGTGGCATAAAAGGCATATGGCACTCTGTTGGTTGCGATCATATCTATCAGACAGAATCCAATATTGTCAAGTAAATGGTCACCTGTCAGATCCCCTAACCGTGAAGACCGGAATACCACAAGGATTATAGGCCCATTATATTGTTTTTGATCTATATTAATGATTTTCCAAAATGTTTAAGACACACTAGACCAGATATGTTTGCCGATGATACCCAAATTGCAACATCTAATAGCGATATCAATGTGATCTTAGAGAATCTTAACACAGATTTAATAAATGTTTCGACTTGGATGTCAGCTAATAAATTAACTTTGAACAATAAAAATACAGAGTTCATGGTTATAGGTAGCAATAAGCGACTTGGCCAAATAGTCCAAGAACCCTCAATTTGTGTGAGAGGCACAGAGATTAAAAAGGTTAATGCGACCAGGTCGCTTGGCCTAATGATTGATGATATTTTATGCTGGTCGGCCCATGTTGACAAAATTACAAAAAAAGTTAACTCAGGACTCAGTATTAGGGAGCTTTAGATTTAACTACGAGTACGACTACGAGTACGAGATTCGTCAAACGAAACGCATGCTGTATGCTTACGCCATCCCGTACTGACGCGAAAAAGTAGTAGCCGTCGCCCATCTGAGTACGAAATTGTGGAGAAATCTCGTAGTCTTTACGACGACTTTTCAAAAAAAAAAGAAAGTTGGCTTTTTTTGTTTACCAAAAATAATTTGTAGCATTTATATAGCGTTTATCCGGTGCAAATAATATGTTAGTACTAAATATCTGGCCTGTTTTAATGTTATGGCTTATTTTCACGTTTTGTAGGGGATTTTAGTCTGCAGGAGATTTAGTTTATGAAACTTTTTTTCTCGTTGTTGGTTTACTGCTGCAAAAGCAACATTTAAATGGAAACGAGAACGACTACGGTAATTTCCTCGCACGTGATTAAATCTCGTACTCGTAGTCGTACTCGTAGTCAAATCTAAAGCTCCCTATTATTAGAAGACTGCGGGATATTGTTGATTATAATACTTTAATAACTGTTTATAAATCAATAATCCAACCACACTTTGATTATTGCTCACAAGTTTGGGGTTGCTTAGGAAAGGTTTTATCAGATAAATTTCAGCGTCTCCAAAATAGAGCGTTTCGTATTATTACCCGTGAAGGATATGAAACGCGATCAAAAGATATTCTAATCAAGGCAGGATTTACAGATCTGCAAACAAGAAGGGAACAACAACTTGCTACATTAATGTATAAGATTAAACATAAAATGCTTCCAAACTACCTGCAGGATATTTTCATCAATACACAAGAAGTCCATAATCATAACACTAGGCATAGTTAATTTAATTATACATTACCAATGCCAAATACCAATGCTATGAAAAAATCATTGGCCTATAGAGGTGCGGAGACTTGGAATGCTCTCCCAATTGACCTGAAGTCGCTAGGAAGTATAGCAACTTTTAAGAGTGGGGTAAAACAATGTTAAGTTATAAAATTTTTTTATATTTATAGTAGTTAGCACACGCCCTATTGGAAGGTTTAGTGGCCAATGGTCGCTAACACCAAAAGAGTAAAAGAAATAAATCATGGTTGAATAAGGCAGTTGAGGCTGACAAGTTGTGGTGGCACTATATATTGTGATATAGTACCTATACCAGATGACTATGACATTGGAGAATACTGAGAAGACAATAACTGAAAATATTCTGTAAAATTAAAATGTATAAGTGTCAAGCATCAGAGGTGCCGTAGGCCACATAAAATAACTTGCTAGATTCTCATCACCGCCCAACTGTACTTTAAGAGCTGCATGTTAAATTTTTTTATATTTTGTTATACAATATCAATGTACCGCCCGACAAAATATTTCAAGACAGTTAAGGTATTTTATACTGGGTTTTTAGTGCCATTTTAAACTGCCAATTCAAACAAATAGAAACTTGAAAGAAATTTCATTGCATTTTACAGGAACTTCGCATTTAGTTCAAGGATTCTGAATCCTTGTTCGTGGAGATATGTTGGAAATGACAGAAATGTGTACTGTAATATGTTTATTTTGATTTATGATACTTCACTTCAGAACTCACAGAAATATTAAATGTTAGGAATTATTATTTTATTTAATGAAATAAACCATCAATGCTGTAGCAACTAAACATTGTAATAATTATATAAATATGGCCTTTTTAGCATGTGTGATGTGAGTCGGACAAAAATAGTACAGCTTAATATTACTGAGTTGTGTAGCTGTCATACATATTTAATACAGATCGACGAAATATATTGAGGAGTTATAATTGAAATCATTATTTACATACCTGATACCTACACTGTCACTTCCCACAAACTATAAGATAACCATAAGTATATTGCAGGATTGGCAGCGCCTGGTATAGAGTTCAAAAACTTATTAATAATTCATGAAGCAATTATCCAATCTTGAGTAAGAAATTAGTCACGTGCATACGTCTTTATACCAGCTAAAGAACACTTTAACAAAAGACCATTGTTATGCAAACTATATAAAGATTTTTATATAAAGATTTTTATATAAAGATTTTTATATAAAGATTTGACTTATTATGCAAACGTTTTTGAAGCCATTTAAAAAACTCGCAGGTCGTGTTTTATTAGGTCTAAAGCCACTCGCGCTGCGCGCTCGTGGCTTTAAACCTAATAAAACACTCCTGCTCGTTTTTTAAATAGTACATTATATTGCCACTGCCATTCATTTTCAACCACTCCAAACATTGCCATAAACTGCCATGTAGGGCACTATACTGCTTGGTTTAAATTTAGCACTTTGCTTCGGAAACAAGTGAGAGCATTCGCTAGTTGCCTCGCTGATTGTGAAATTGGGCAATTGGGTCACACTTCTGAAGACCTAAACACTTTCAAATGCCTTTCAAAACCACAGAAATATCATTTTTGACTCACGGATGTTGCGAAGCAATATCTGTGAGTCTTTGTGGTTACCTTGAGTGGGGCAGTTAAACAATGGGAAATGACCAGCCTGCTTTGCGCGCAGTGTTTGCCTGCGAACGGGTCTTTTGGAACCGGAAATTGGGCTGGAGCACGCTTCACGTTCTTTTCAACTTTTGACTTTTTGACAAGCGTGTGCTAAATTAAAAGGTGAGTGTTAGTTGACTTAATTGTTATCTGTTTTTCTACTTCACCCAACAGATCTGCTGTTAACACACTGATCTACCTTT